GTGGGTAGCCGATGAAAATACATCGCTCACTATGAGTTTCGAGCATGTCGTGAGTATCTCGTCTTACGAAAGCCTCGCAACCCCAAACATTGATATGTGCTAACAAGGAAACCTTCCCTGTCCACATCTCGTGAGGTTTTTTGGCAACCTTTTTATTTGGGACTAGATTAAGGATATGGGTGGCAATCTCTAAGGCATAACCCCAAAATGAGATAGGTAACAAAGCTCGACTTATCATGGAACGAACCATGTCCAACAAGGTTTGGTTGCACCTCTCAGCCACACCATTTCGCTTCGTTGTCTTAGCTGGTGACAATTATGAAACAATTCCATATTTCTTAAGATAATCGTGGAACTCGATACTAAGATACTCACCACCTTGATCGGATCAAAGCATCTTTATCTTCCTGCTCAATTGATTCTCCACTTCTTGTTTAAACTCTTTGAATTTCAAAGGTTTCTAACTTATGCTTGATTAAATAGATATACCCATAACTTCTATAATCATTGGTAAAAGTCACATAGAAGCGGTTAGCATCCCTTGTGGTGGATTTGAAGGGACCACTCACATTAGTATGTATGAGATCCAACAAACCCTCACCCCTTGCACAAGAACCAGTGAAAGGGTGACTTAGTCATCTTTCCAAGTAAACAAGATTCACATATGTCATACGATTTTAAATCAAATGACTCCAACACTCCATCCTTTTGGAGTTGGGCTATGCACTTGTTGTTGACATGTCCAAGTCGACAATGCCATAAGCATGCTTTATCCAAACCATTCTAAGAATCGATATACAACATATTATTTCCTAGGTTATCTACAACCATCACAATTTCATATATATATATATATATATATATATATATATATATATATATATATATATATATATATATATATATATATATATATATATACCATTATAATAAGCATTAATACCACCATTCTCATTATTAAATGAAAAAGTAAAACCTTGCTCATACAAACCATGAAAAGAAATAATATTTCTCGCCACATTAGATGAGTACAAACAATTATTCAACTCCAAATTTAACCCACTTCTAAACAATAAAGAATAAACTCCAATGTTGGTGACAAGTGACATCCTGTATCAGAAAAAATGTGAAAACCACATCATGTATCAATAACCCAAGAATTATCATGTGATGAGTTATTAGATAGAATAGGGTAAATACCTACGAAGGTGAGCTTGAACTTAGCATCGTTTATGTCCTGCAAATATTTGGGGCAACTTCGTTTCTGGTGCTCTTTTTCATGACAATGGAAGCACTTCGCTTCCTTTGGGTTGGAAGAGGGTTTAGCAGAACCAGATTTGGTCCCATTAGAAGAGGATCCATCATGGGAATTTCCTTTGTGGCTCTTAGAAGGATTCTTCCTCTTCTTTCCCGTCCCATGTCCAATTGCCAAGATAGGGGCACCAGTAGTAGGAGTAGGCACAATAGATTTGCCTTTTAAACTGCTTTCAGTAGTTCTCAAAAGGCCCTGAAGCTTGCTTAGAGTGTCTTCCTCATTGTTCATATGATAGGTCATTCAAAACCAATCATAACAAGGAGGTAAATAGTGTAGGATAATGTTAATAGCCAACTCTTTATCGAAATTGACATTTAACTTCAGCAAGCGGTCCACAAACATTTGCATTTTTTGCAAGTAGGTCGTGATGGACTCTCCATCCTTTCCTGCCGAGCACTTTGATGGCACCTTTCCACCAAATCTTGGTGCATTTCATAGGGTCAAAAATCCTCATAGGACTTTTGAAGCTCAGCACTTATCGTAGCAACCATGATACACGACACCTTTGTCACGTCCCTCTCATGAGTCTTGTATTCAACAATCAGTTGAGGAGTGGCAGTGTTTTCATCAATCTCCTTTAGGTCCTTATTGAGAAAATATTCATTTTCCTCATAATGAATGGCGATGCGAATGTTTAGAATCCAATCATTGATGTTCGATCCATCAAAGATGACCTTACAACATATGCTCATGAGGGAGAAAGGCCTGGAAGGGATTGAGTTTGAAGCAGTGTTCGAAGTAGACATCTGAAAAGAAAGACAAATTTTAGATTAGATAAGGATCCTTAATATAATACCCAAATGAAATATTAAGGCTAGTACCGAAGACAATATTCTACAATTCGGAAGAGGTATGCCGTAGTCCGATTATAAAATATTGGAAGGTAGGTAAATGAAAATTTACTAATTTCCACAATGATAAACAAATATGAAGATTAAGTTTTAAATGGATTGAAATTCTTGGATTCTTTTGAGATTCATTGAACTTTTGAATGGCATGTTTAAATCTTGATTAGGCCCTTCAAGTTTGTGATTGGGATACCGAGGATCACAAACAAGGTGTGAATAACCATGGAAATGTGCTTGGTACTCTTGATGTTACTAATCACCTAATAAATGTTCCGATTAGCCAAACACACTCTATTGATCCGTGATTAACGTCAAGCTACCCTTTGCCGCTCTTTCCAGTCCCGAATTAGTGTGTCGATTAACCACACACGATCCAATAACGACTTAGCAAGGTGCAAAATGCAATTTCATGGAATAACACAAGCTTCACATTTTTCCTAAAGTAAATAATATTGGGAATATATAAAAGTTTAGTTACTTTATAATATCATCATACTTATTAATGAGAATTAATGTCATATCCTACCCATTCGGCTAACGACCCCCCTCTATTTAAGAGTGCGGTGGGTAAGAGTAGATACCCAATGGCGATCATATTATAGGCCACTTCCTTAAACACCCCTTATAGACTAGCTTCGTGAATGAGGTCTACTAATGGTAAGACTGGCTTATCTTATATGTATATATAAGTATTAAACTTTTAATATTATAATAGTATAGGGTTGAATTTTAAACTTATAAAATTCTAGGGTTTGGAATTAAGTTTCGTAATGTTACTCTTTGAATTTTAAAACTTGAGGGCATGTTTTGAGACTCCTCAAAACCTCTTGAGTTTTAGAATTTATGTTACATAAATGAGACTTTCCAGTTTGCATAACTTGAGGGCAAGTTATGAAACTTTTCAACACCTTTTGATTTCCATAACTTAAAGAGTTAAAGTTTCATCAATCAGAATTTTCATATTTCATAACTTGAGGACAAGTTATGAAACTCTTCAAGAAACATTTAGATCAAATTTAACTAACAAAAATAATCATATAATTTATCATTTAACAATTTAACATAATACAACTCATATAGCAAGATAAATTCAAATTCTACAAATAATTAGTTCTTCACAAAATCATGTAATTATCTTAAAATTTGAAAATAATCATGTTATTGGACGAGGATAACCATTACCATATCATTAAAAATGCATTTTATGAACCAAAACAGTTTGTGGTAATGATCCTAATCCAAAACAGACCAAAAACTCGAAAAATCTGCCAACTGATGATCCAACTCATTGAGCTAGGCTATGTACTCGTCGAGTTCATGGTTAGATCATCCAACTAGTCGAGTTCCATGATGGGACTCGACGAGTCCAACAGTCAAACAACAAAAGTCATAAATTTTCAACTTTGAAAACAATACAATTCAATCTATATAATAGAAAACACCCATGACTTTCATACCACTGATGGGTTTTATGTACTCTAACATCCTTATGGTGAACATACAACCATAATGGTTTGGATCTAATTTTTCTCTAATTATACATGCAATATTCTTTTTCAAAAGCATGAAGCTTAACTAGCATGCAACTTTGATATATGTAACATAAAAACTAGTTAGATTATTACCTTGTTGATGTACCCTGTAGAACTTGGCCTTATAAGAGCTTAGTACCCCAAGTGTGATGCCTCAAACAAGTCACAAACACCAATAAACAACTAGAGGACAATGAGAGAGGTTTGGGAGATACTAAAATCGACTATATCTTGCTTAGAATACTAGTGATGTATGATTTTAGTGCTTAGGGTACACATGTATAGTGTAGAATACCAAGAGTGTTTTTTAACCTTAATTCTTACACTTAAGCTTATGATCCAACAATTGATTTGGACTAACACTTCATAGACTAACTCATAAGCTTAGGCCATCACAAATCAATCATGCATCATTAGCCCAAACCATATGTATCACTGATTTACATAATGAGTCCCCGTTAATTTAATTAGTCTCTTTTGATCACTAGATTAATTCCAAATTAATTCTTGATGAATACTAATTAAATAATATGATTTCAATTAATATATTATTCTTATAGTATATTAATAAATCACAAATAACCTCTTTCTCACATATCCATCTTATCAAATTGTTCTGGTGAAGGCAACCCGAAATGGACCATGCTACTATCGGGTCAATTACATACCAATTATAGTTATGGACTTAGACACCTAATTCAACAAAAATATATTCAACACGATAGTGTTGCACCTAGTACCATGTTCATGATTTCTAATCAAACCAAGTGCTTAAGGAATAGGACCTTTATAAAGGTTATTGTTTCAGCAAGTGAATGATGATGCATGGAAATGAGATTTGATTTTGTTTTTAGGTATTCTTCTCGTACAAACTGCTCCACTTTTGTAACCTTCTATAGCACAACCACATCTTCAGATTCTTCAACCTTTTCAACCTCCATTTCACTTGTCAACGAGGTCAAATTTGGTTTCTGGACCTGTTAGTCATTTGTGGCCTTCACGATAGTAGACGACATAAGTTCTTGGAATTCCTTTTATTGTCAACAAAAAACACCTCCTTTTCCATAACATCGTGTGTATCAACAAAATTGATTTCTTCCTCAATGTTTTCCACAATTATGTCTTAGTCACGAAATTAATTTCTTCAGAGATTTCTTCTATCCCATCAATATTAGTAACATCAGCAATAATCTTTGGGACCTCATCTTCTTCTCATGTTTCAGTGCTAAGGAGTGAAATATTATCTATGCCTTTTCCTGGTTCGTACCAAAGTGTCGCCTTGTATATGAAGGTTCTCTCATCTACTTATTCGTCTTCACAAACCTTCTCCATTATTGTAGATTCTTCATTCACAACATATTCAATAACAACATAAGATTCTTGCACAAAGGTAGGTTCTTCAGTTATAATGGTCTCTCCCAACGATTCATCATAATCCATCACATCCAATAATTTATTTTGCCATGATTCAGAAAGTTTTTGATAAATTATGATTGGGTAGTTTGTTGGAACGTACCTTCTTCTGATCTTATGTTTTAAGGATTCCCAAGATGTTATTTTCTTCTTTCCTTCATGTTTTCTTTTGGCTTTCAGTCCATCATACGAAATCGATGCTTCTCCATTCAGCCTCAAAATCGCATACTTACAGCTCATCTTATCATCCAACCGTTTAAACTTAAAAATATTTTCAATCTTCTCTTTCCAATCCAAATATTCGTCTGGATCCAGCAACGAACTTAGGCAAGTCGTTCACATTAACACCTCCAACCTTCTTTGTTTGTTGTCACATTCCTTCTTCTTGCAAACCACACAAAACTTCATGCAAGGTATTCTTGTAATATGGATCTTCAAAATCCATGGGTTTTGATGCAATTTTAACCTTCAACGGTAACAATTAAGTCGAACTTGCTGAATCACAACAACAACACAAATCACAATAGCAAATCACAAATCACACTTAACAGGAAACACAAAAATCGTTAAACTCGGCAAGAATTTTAGATCTAACAAAAACTCGTTTTTTTTTAAAATAATTACTGAACAGCAGTGAAAATCAAACAAACTTAATGGGCGATCAGAATTGGGCTCTGATACCACATATGATGTATGTAGGAGGAGGGTTTATATTTTGGTTTTTATGAATGTGTCGAAAAAATAAGAAACAAGAGCAATAAGACAAGAACAAAAATAACTTGTCCGACAAGAAAACAAAATAATATAGATTTTGATAAATAATCAAGATATAGAGATTGAGTATTGATGAAAACAAATCAAGACTTGTTGATTTGAATTTGAATCAACCTATAATACGTGTCCTAGAATTGATAAAGGGGCGAGTAAGCAACTCAAAGAACACCAAAGTTCTTTATTCAAAATTCAATCAACAATGTAATCATCAATAATGTTTGACATAGGAGACTATTTATAGTCTTACGACACTCAAAAAATAAAAAGAAACTAATAGATAAAAGGAACCTATTAATAAAGGGATAGTATTAAATAAAGGCTACAAATAACTCCAAGTATCTCTAGAATCTTCCAGCTAGAGCCCATCCAATTAACTATGCAAATCTATGGAACCATTGGTCCCAAGTAACTTTCACATAGGATGTCAACGGGGGGAAAACGGGACAGGGAGTGCACCCCCTCCCCCGAAATTTCCCTGTTCCCCCACCCCACCCCTGCTCTCAAAATGTCTAGCCTTCCTACCCCCGCAGCCGCCCCGAATCCCCTTAATACCCCACCCGCCCCCAATTGATTTTAGGTTGTCTTTTTTTGGGCTAAAAGAAGTTGTTGTTTGGCTGAAAAATGATTTTTTAGGTAACAAACAATTACTTATAAAATAATTTTACATGTTAAAAACAAAAAAGTTATGGTATCTTAAAAACATTATACTAACAACTTAATAACATTTTTTTTGAATATTTGAAGCTCAAAATCATGCTATTGTTTATTATATTTATATAATTAATATACGTAAATATTTGTATAATTTATTAATGGGGGCCTCATTGGGTGGTTTCTGGATGAGACTACCCACCCCTGTCCCTACCCCTTAAATTAAGACGAGGGTTAACCTTTCCCCCACCCCCATCAGCACCTCTGATTTTTTTAATAAATAACCCCGAGCGGAATGGGGCCCCACAGGAACGGGGTTTTAGAGGACTTTTGACATTCCTAGTTTTACACCAAATAGCTTGTACAACCTCATTGGAACCAATATGTCAGCAGCAATCCATCAGAACCACTACGAGCCCAATGGGTTTCGAGATTGGCAACACACTTGGACCTTCCATTCATTCGCAACCACCAAACAACTTTTGCACCATCCATTCATTCGTAACCACCAACCATTCACATCAAGTAATATTCCTTGGTTCACATTGATTCATATTCCGAGGTTCGCTTCGGATGACCACTCCAAGAGTCGCAATGGCATTCACAACCGGTCATGAAATGTTTTGCAACAACTAGAGATGGTGATGGCTTGCGATCTTTCACAGTCAATTGCATCCATATGTCCTTTGCATCCATTCGCCTCCAAAATAATTAAACTCTGATCCATTGCGATCGTTTGCCTTGATTCGCGTCCAGTCTGCGCAATTTAAACCATTTTTGCACTCAATATCCTTTTCACAATCAGGACTCGGACTTGGCTTGGAACTTAACTGGCTACTTATCGCATTCACATCACGATTATATGCCATGTAGCGAATATGTACTCTTTTATTAAAATAGGACATTTATATAAATAAAAAACTATTAAAAAAGGATAATCACTGTAATCTCGACAATAATATAAAAATAATGATATTAGGCTACAAACAATGCTTTTTTTGTTTTTTTTTTTTATTAAAGTTGGATATTTTTAACCTAATCACAAAAAATGATATGCTATATGGTCTATATTTTTTCGTATATTTCCTAATAATAATAACAATACAAAAGAGAATACAACATAATTATAAAATAAAAAAAAAGTAAATATCTTCCTATATTTTTTTCATCTTTATCTTCCGATCCATATAAAATTACGACTAATGTCATATTTTGATAAAATTAATTATATTTTAAGTCATTTTTTTATCATTTTAAATGGGTTGGAAGATATTTGATTTCTCTTACTAAGGTTTCAACTCTTTTGTTGAACATGAAGTATTTTCAATAAATAATTAAATGGTTTATCACTAAGGTTACATGGAAAATATATGATTTGGGCAACACATGTTGGAACCAATGAAAACACGACAACACATTACTTTAGAATAACTACATAAATAACTTCAATAATACATTACTTATGAGTAAAGAAATGGACTTCTAGCATATGTTGCCCTAGTTATTCATTTTCCATTGAACCTATTTCTCTCTCTCTCTCTCTCTCTATATATATATATATATATATATATATATATATATATTAGGTTAGGTTACTTTATTTTTACTAATTATTGTGTACCAGAATACACAGATCTGGACCACCGAATGGAATAGAATCAAATATCTTGATCTGAGGGTCTGATATTACAAAATGGTAACATGTACCATATAATCATACACATTTAAACATAAGGGCATTTTAGTCAATTAACCTATATTAAAAAAGGAAATTTTTGGATTTTAAGGATAATTATTTCCTTTTTTAATTACGAATATTTTAAATTAATTCAAATTCAAAAATTTGATTTTATTCTGTCAGAATGACAGAATGCTAACCGTAAACTAGTAAATATATTTTCGATTTTATTCTTATAGAATACATTTCCAATGTAGTTACATTTTGAAAATTGACCTGATTTAAGAATAAGATATTATTCATGTACATCCAACTTGGGTCTATGAGTTTATTCTTAATATATATCCAAAATTAAATAGAAATTCATACATATTCTTACAGACTAATATCCTTATACATTTTAGTATAGTTATATGTATTCTAACAAATTATCATCAAAAAAATGAATAAAATTCTTAAAAAATAGCATTCTTAAATATGCAATTGTTAAACAAATACGCTTGGTCTTCTTCAGTGGTCCATATAATCCATTTGATCTTCGCATATATAGCTGTTGTTGAACTCGATTCCAAACATTTCTCTTGTATGATCAATAATGAATTTCTTCTCCATGCAATTCTGAAAGAATAAGATGCATTACTTGTTACACAAATTCTGACAGAATACATTGAAGTATTTCCCGTTAAACAAATATACTTCTTGTTAACAAACATTCTCAAAGACATTCTAACAGAATACGTTTATATAAATAAATTCTGACATAATACATTTTTGAAATAATAATCTATCATTGACCTAAAAATAGAATAAGTCAATTTTGTAATAAACTAGATGACAAATGTAGGTTGGTGTATTAATAAGCCAATTATGTTGCCCCTTTTTTTTTAAATCAATATCATTCAACCTACCAAATGAAACTGTAACGCCCGGGTTTCCAGGCTATGCATTTTGTCAATGTAATAGTCTAGGTCAACTATTGTAACTCTTTTTGAAGTAATAAAGATGAAATATTTGAGTATTCTGTGAATTATGTGTGTTTATGTGTTTATTATTTAATTATAAATGTATAATTAATAAAGAATAAAAATAAGCGTCAAAATTTAAGCGTCAAAATTATAAATGTTCATTGGAAAAAGAAAAAACTTGTATTAGGTGTGAGATTAGTGAGTCCTAAACAACTAAAACATATGATGTGTAACTATGTTGTAGCAACTGGTTATTAGTTACATTACAAAGAAATGATAGTAGGAGACTATTAGTGAAATGTTGTGTTGGGCAGTGCAAGTTTAGGATGTGGGCTTCTTGGATGAGTGAGGAAAAGTCTTTCTAGATAAAGAGTCTCATAAATGAGCATAATTGTGCATGAAACTTCAAGTTAGGTTCAATTGTGAATTATTCAGGGATAGTTACCAATTGTTACAACTAGCATTTTAGCTAGGAAATTCTATACTCATGTAAACATCATTTGTTATGATATTTATAACCCTAATTTGATATTATGCATAATGCTCATTCAATGACAACAAATTCAATCAAGGTTCACTAAGTAAAGTTCAAAACCTAGTACAATACATGTCATATAGTCAATTATGAGTTGAAAACCCTAAAAATCTTGGTTCAAGATTAATATGAGTCAGGATTCTCTTATTGGGCCTAATGGACCAATAAACCTTCAACTTGACTATCATGGGCCTAGGAATCATAATTGGGCTCTAGTTCGACCCACATTAGTAAAACTTTAGCATTTTAGGCCATGTAGGCCTAAAATGGTTTATTTTGCCCCTAATGTGCCAATTAATTCCATTAGCCCTAATGGGCCGTAAACTACCTATTGGGCTTATCTTGGGGCTGTGAACACCAATGAGGGCCTAATGGGCCTAGAAACATCTACTTGGGCCCCATATTATCAAAATCAAGCCCAAACTATTTCTCCTTTCATCAATTTTCCTATCTCAGCCCAACATTGAATTAAAAAAAAGGGATTTGTAATAGCTTGCCACCTCTTTAATGTCTAGAGGTAATCCAAGAATCAAGACCCATGTATCTAAATTAAAAACTTCTTAAACCTCCAAATAATGTCCAACAAAATCACCCCCTTCCTCCTTAAAAGTTCTCGGCCCAACACCATCAACATCTT